ACTAAGCCCATGCGCTGCAACTACTGAGCCTGCACTCTAGAGCCCGCGAGCCACAACTACTGAGCCCATGTGCCACAACTACTGAAGCCCAGGCGCCTAGAGCCCGTGCTCCACAACAAGAGAAGCCACCGCAGTGAGAAGCCCTCTCACCGCAACAAAGAGTAGCCCCTGCTCACCGCAACTAGAGGAAGCCCGCACGCAGCAACGAAGACCCAACGCAGCCAAAAATAAATAAAATAAATAAATTTAAAAAAAAAGAAGAGTCTTCCTGCCACACACATCTGTAAGCAATCATATGGCTGACAGTGAGTTCTCCCCATGTACCAGGCCCCTAGGTATGCGCTATACCAGTGTGAACTCCGAGTCCTCATAACAACCCTGTGAGTTAAGGGCTGTGGTTGCCGCCAGTCTGTAGATGATGAAAGGCAAGCCCCCACTATGACGCCCCTGCTCTTTAGCAGGCCTCATCCCAACACTCCAGCCCAGAACCTGCAGACCTCCCGCCCACCCCTGCCCCTCCCCAGTACACACCAGGCTGTTTTATGCCTCTGAGCCTCTGCTCATGCTCTTCCTCTCTGCCCGGAATACCTTTCCTGCTCCCCATTCTCACCCCACATTGGATACTGCCTCATTGTTTAAGAATCCTATTAGACATCACCCCTTCCAGGAAAGCCTTTTCGGACCCCAACTTAATCAGATACCCCTCTGTGCCAACACCCCCCAACCTGGCCACACATACACAGTCCTCTGGGCACTGTCCTGTTTCCCCAGGGGCGGGGCCCATGTGTCCCTGTAGTGCCCCACCCAGGGAAGAATACAGATAGGTGTGAATGAACGAACAAATGAATAGTTAACATTATTGAGTGAATTATGAAGTGCCAGGCACTATGCTAAGTGCTTTACAGGTATTTCATTTACTGCTCACTATGCCTTATGGGGAAGGTGCTATCATTCACCAGATGAAGAAACAGCAGCTCAGAGGAATTGGACATCCACCAAGCATCCAGGCAATCTGACCCCAGAGCCAGTACCCTTATACTATTACGTGTGGGCGCTCCTCACTGGACTCTCTCCGTAAGGGGCTCTGCCCCCAACCCCCCTGAGACTGGAGTAGGGAGAAAGCTCAGAAGCGCTTGGTCCCCTTGGAGGAGGAAGGCAGTAATCCTGCCGCCCTCTGCACCATTCAGATCCCCTGGGCCTGCCCATTTGCTCAAGGACAACCCGACCCAGGAAGAGGCTTGATCTTGGGAAGAGGGTGTTGGGGCCAAAGAAAAGAAGATACCGAGGGCCAGGGTTGCTACTGTCTTTAGCCAGGCTCTGGCCATTGGGGCACAGGCTCTCCTCTAAGGAGAGAGGTTGGGACCCTGGGGAACCTCGTGACTAAATCCTACCCAACTCCACTATGCCTTCTCCCTGAAGACACCCAACATCTGACCAGTAAATGCTAACGTACCTCCACTGACAAGGACCTCCCTATCACCCCAACCCAGGCAAGACCTCAGCAAGCTTCTCCTTCCCTTAGCTGAAACTCACCTCCTTGGGGACATCAAGAGGAGCCCACTCTCTCGGGAGAAACCAACGGACCCAACTGGAGGGCACCTCCCTGACTCTTGTCAGTGCCACTGATCCTCCCCTTTCCTTCCAGACAGAACACTTAGAACTCTGCCTCCTGTGGCTTCTTCATAATGCCTTATTTCCTCCCTCTCCTCTTGCCCTTCCAAAGCTCTCCAGACATGGTACCATGGTCTTAACTTAGGAAAGCCCTCTTCTTGTGTTTCCTGATCCCCTCAGTCCCTAGAGAAGGCAGAGTGGGAAGGTTTCTAGTCTCACTCTGGAAGACCAGAGAGGTAGAATAGTTTGCCCAAAGGCCCACAGCGAAGGGGTGCCTTCCAGGAGCAGCAAGTGCAAAGGCCCTGAGGTGGGAGTGTGCCTGGCATGTTGAGTGTGCCTGCAATGAGGCAAGCATGGCTGCCATGGAGTGAGCAGAGGCTAGGGTGGGGGATAAGTTCAGAGAGGCACAGGGCCCAGATTGTGTAGGCCTTTTATAGGCCACTGTGAGGGACAGACCTGAAGCTTATGCAATTTAAGGTGCTGTCCTTTTTTAAAATATCAAAATTACAAATAAAAGTTTGACTCAGGGCCTTGGAAGGAGCCTGGGCAAGTGAGGGGCCTGGATGGTAAATCTACCCTTGACTGGTGAGAAAGGTGGCTTTTGCCTGGAATGAGAGGGAGCCATAGGACAGTTTCGAGCAGAGGAGCTGCCTGACCGAATTAACCTTTGAATAGGATCTGCCTGGCTGCCAAGTGGAACATGAACTGGGGCAGAGTAGAGGAATTAGGACACTAATGAGCAACCTGAACCAGGTGGTTATGGCTGAGGGGCGGGCAGGGGTCAGATTCCAAAGGTGGAACCAACAAGATCTTCTGATGGGTAGAATGGGAGGCTCGAGAGAAGTCAGAAGGGTTGACCCTGAGGTTTTAGGCCTAATCCAGTTATCTCCAACTGGGGCGGGGAAGAAGCGTCATCATGGTAACTGGACCTCATACACTCAGGCCTCTAACTTCTCTATGATTTTCACCAACCCCCCTCTCCCTGCAAGGAGGCTGAGGCCGAAGTCTCATTCCTCCCACTTCACAAAGAAAACAATACTCAGGATACTCAGAGAGATAGAGCACCTTGCCCAAGGCCACACAGCCAATAAATGGCAGACCCTGGACTCAAACCCAGGTTCTACCAGCTCCAAAATCAGTTATCTGTTCTCATATACCAGGAAAAGCAAGGTTTGGCGACCCTAGTAGACTGTCGGGTGGCAGAGGGAGTTCCTGCAGATGAGGCACAATTCATCTACCACAGGGTCCCTCGGACCACTTCACACCTACCCCCAAAAAGCCTTCAAAGAAAGCTCTCGGCACCCTACGCCATGCTCCCTCCTGACGCTGTTTCTGATCCACCGGCTGGGAGGTCTCAGCTGCAATCTCGGGGAAATGTTTTCGGCCTCGCTCAAGTTTTCTTAACACATTGACCAAGTAATGACTGCCTCCCTCCATTTTACACATTTCCTAAAGGAGTTTCTGTATTAGGATGCAAAGCTGGCTTCTCTGACTTAGAGAAAACCTGGGATTCCTGGTTTAATCTAGATTTAATCTTCTAACAGATTTAGCCCCTAAAAACAATCCATTGCATTTAAACTGACAATATCTCACAATAATCCAATGGCTTGGATTGATATTTTTATTATTATCATTATGGATATGAAAGGCCCATCATTTGGGATGTTCAATTCTACTACCTAGAATGGCTCATGCCACTTTCTGCCTCCACTCCTCGCGTGGAGCCTTGACTTGTGAGTCTTTCACCATCTTGAGGCTTTGTCCTTTTCAAACCACACCTCTTAAACACCAGGAACAGAACCTGACAGGCCAAGCTGAATAGGCTTTGTCCCCTCCAGCCCTCCCCCAGCCCCCTACTCCTGGCAAAACCTGCCAGCAGGAGCAGATATTTGATCCGTCATAGAAGCTATGATGTTACACTGCCCAGATGTTCAACTCACCGGACTGAAGGCTCAGGTTACAGGTAATCAGGGCTGCTCTAGCCTACAGACCCCATGCCCACCCTATCCTCCCACCCTGAAGAGTCAGTTAGGATCAATGTCCCACATGGCCAACTGAGATGGAGTATGTAGGACCTGCATGGGTCGGAGGCTCACAGAATTGACCCCTTTAGAGTCTTCACACCAGTGGCCTAGAAGGCACGTACTCTCAAAGCCCTCTAGGGCCTTTCAGAATGGACGATGCCCTCCCCCAGTCCTCAAACACCTTTATCTCCTTGCCCGCTAGGGCCCACTTCCTTTCTTTGTCAGTAGTTTTTTGTTTTTGTTTTTGTTTTTTACGGTACATGGGCCTCTCACTGTTGTGGCCTCTCCCGTTGCGGAGCACAGGCTCCGGACGCACAGGCTCAGCGGCCATGGCTCACGGGCCCAGCCGCTCCGCGGCATGTGGGATCTTCCCGGACCGGGGCACGAACCCGTGTCCCCTGCATCGGCAGGCGGACTCTCAACCACTGCGCCACCAGGGAAGCCCTCTTTGTCAGTAGTTTAAAGAGAATCGGGACAGAGCCTGGAAACACTCGACAAGAGAAACAGAACAAATGTGATCAATGTGGCTAGAATTTTCAGGCCACCAGAATGTGCCTGATTTCTCCCCCAATAAATTGGGGCTGCACTTTACAGCTATGGGAGTTGGGGAAGGAAGTTACAAATTCAGCATTAAAAAAAAATTTTTTTTCTGTTACCAGAATAAGGTCAGGCCTAAGAGACATATTATTGAGGAAGGGGAGGTAATGAAGGCCCACACTGTGTCCACAGAAATACAACAAAGCCCCTACCCTTTCCTGTTTAAAAGATCCCCCCGCCCTTGTCCAGGGAGTTAGTGAAAACTGTGCACGTGACTTTGTAAAATGTGTGCTAAGATCTAGTCACAGCAGGTAATTCAATCCCAAGACCAAGACCAGGCTGTAGCAAACTCTGGATTTAGCCCAGTCTAACCTGAGGACTTAGGGGGTCCTTTAACAGGACCGAGTGAGATGCTGGCTGTGTGACAGTGGTGGCCACCAACACTGGGTCAGAAAATGGCACAGAGAATGGTCAGCACCTGCCAGACACTCTCGTCCCCTGAAGGAACGGCCAGATGCAGAAACCGGGCTCCCATTCCGTATAGGAATTCCTAGGGCAGAACTGGAGGGGCCATCCCTCTCACCTCCCAGTCAGGGGGACTGAGGCCTGGAGTGGGGAGGTCGTGCCAGGGCTGACTTCTCCCCTCATCATGAAGCCAGCTCCCACCTTAGACAGTCAGGGCTCAAAGCCAAGTTTGCCCAACACCCATCCATGGCTGATGAGGACAGCAGAGAACCCGGAATTCCCCAAGGCATGGGGAACAGGATGGGCAGCCTTTCAGACAGCTCTCGACCCTCGGGCAGGCCAAGAAACTCATCCTCCAAGGGCAGCAGTTTCCAAACTTCTGTATTTTTAGCAGCAGAAGCCATCCTTCAAACAAAACCTTATGCAAAACCTCAAGCTACAAAACAGATCGGGGGAAGCTCTCCCAAGCGAAGCCTGGGCCAGGCCCCAAGCTCCCCCTCCAGCACCCAGGACTCCTTCCACGGGGCCCTATGTGGAGCTCAGTCCAAAACCCCAGACTCGGAGGCCTTGTAGCCCTGAAGCTGAAGCAGCCAGATAGGGTGGGCTCTTACTTAAGACCCCTGGAGGGTGCGGCTGGTCTCCGAGACCTGGACGACTTCGTTCTCCACCAGGGCCTGGCTCCCATCCCCACTGAGCTGTCTCATGCGCAGGTTAATGGAGCCGTAGGTCTTCCTGGAGCCCCTGCCAGGGACGAAGTTCGGCCGGCGGTACAGCTCTCCCTTGCACAGGGAGACCATCAGCAGCACGGACAAGAGCATGCCGCCCACTGTGAGCAGCCCCAGGCCTGCAATGATGCACTTGTCCAGGTGTGAGCCCAGGCGCGCATAGTACATTTCTAGTCGTTCCATCTCCCGTGCTGACACTGTGTCCGGGTTGACACGGGCCTCTCGGGGGATGGTGTACGCAGTCACCACCAGGAGGATCCCGCTCACCAGGAAAACCAGAGCGGAAACGAAGCCGTAATCCACCGGGCGGCTCACAGGCTCCAGGCCTGGCCCCTCTTCTGAACGCAGGGACAGGTCGTCCCTCTGGGATCGGGGCCATGAGGGGACGCCCTCAGGGGGGCTGGGGGAGCTGCCCAGTCTGGCATCCCTAGGGTTCTGGAAATGAGTCTCGTGCTCCTCCGAAAAGAAGCAGGCATTCTCCACACCCTCCCTGCGTGGGGCCGCTGGACCCAGAGGAGCTGGTCTCCTTGGGGCCTGGGGACCATTGCTCAGTGTCTTCAGTTCCAGACCAGGGGGAGATGCCATTGGGAAGGCGGGCCCCAGCTCATCCCTTGGCCGCTGGGCAGCTAGAAGAGAAAACAGAAAGTCAGTGGAATTTAGCGAACCTCTACTGAGAGCCTGCTGGTGCCAGACATCACAGAAGGCCCCGAGAGATGTGAAGGTGAGTCAGGCCGAGTCTCCACCGGGGAGGAGGGGGAGCCCGCGAGCCAGAGGGGGAGGCAGGGGATAAGATAATGACAGAGCAGTGAGACCCAATCCGTGCTAGGATCCTGCTTCACCACTGGCGGGCATGTGGCTTTGGGCAATTCCCGTATCGTCTCTGGGCCTGTTTCCCTCTATATTAAATGACAGTAATACTACCACTCCGTATTTAACGGGGCTGATATAGGGATTGAGTTAATCCATATAAAGTGCTCAGAATAGTAAGGACTCAGTAAGTATCAGCAATGAGCTATTATGATGGAGGGAATTTAAATACAGTAGATAGGTTCTAATCCCAGCGTCACCACTTGAGCTTTGGCAAGTGAGGTGACCTTTCCAGACTCAATTTTCTCATCTGTTAAATGTGAATAAGCCAAATGTCTCCCTCATAGGGATGATGTGAGGATTTCATAAAATAAGGCATTTAAGGCCCCTGCCAGTTCAATTAATGGACACTGTTGTGATGAAGTGAGAATGACTGGGGGCAGGGGAAGGGGTAGAGATGAAGGTGGTCGTAAGAACAAAAGGAGAAAGTTAGGGAAGCTTCTAGGAGTTGGTGGCATTTGAGCCAAGCCTCGGAGGATGAGTGGGAAATCCCCCAGCACTGAGAGGGGACAAGGGCATTCTGGAGAGGGAGAAGGGGTGCCTTGAGGTCAGCTGGGACCAGCTCGCTAGGGACTCTGAAAACCAGGCCAAGGAGCCAGGGAGGCGAGGCGTTGGGGATGGGAGGGCTAACATCGCCTAGGTTTTGGAAAGCTCTCTCTGGCTGCTGCATGGAGGACAGACAGGATGGGGAAGGAGGAGAGTGGAGGCCAGGGGTCCAGGGAGGAACCCACTGTGGTCAGGGGAGACATGGAAGCTGAGAGGGCAAAGAGAAAGGAGCATATCTGAGAGCCATGACTGAGGTCAAGGCCAAATGCCTTTATGTAAATAGAAGATGGGAGGACCTGGATGCAGACCACAGAAGGGGAGCTGGGAGAGGAGCGGGTAAGGGGGTACACCTTGCTCAAAGAGGAGACACCCTACCCAAGTACCTGAATACACACCCACACAGACAGACAGCACATGTGCCAAAGGATACCAGCTTACAGCCCATGGGCCATATTTGGCTCATAGAAGTTTTGCTTTTTTTTGTTTCTGGTCTGTTCATCTGGTTTTTGGTGAAGCAGTTGCCAATATATAAAAAGCAAAAGATTTTACACTTTATTTTTTAATTTATTTTTTTAAATAGATCTTTATTGGAGTATAATTGCTTTACTATACTGTGTTAGTTTCTGTTGCACAACAAAGCGAATCAGCCATATGCCTACCCATGCCCCACATCCCCTCCGTCTTGAGCCTCCCTCCCATCCTCCCTATGCTACCCCTGTAGGTCATCGCAAAGCACCGACCTGATCTCCCTGTGCTATGCTGCTGCTTCCCACCAGCCAACTATTTTACATTTAGTGTATATGTGTCGATGCTACTCTCACTTCGCCCCAGCTTCGCCCTCCCACCCCATGTCCTCAAGTCCATTCTCTATGTCTACCTCTTTATTCCTGCCCTGCAACTAGGTTCATCAGTACCCCCCCTTTTTTTTATAAATTTATTTTTGGCTGCGTCGAGACTTCACTGCTGTGTGTGGGCTTTCTCTAGTTGCAGTGAGCAGGGGCTACTCTTTGTTGTGGTGCGCGGGCTGCTTATTGCGGTGGCGTCTCTTGTTGCAGAGCACGAGCTCTAGAGTACAGGCTCAGTAGTTGTGGCGCACGGGCTTTGTTGCTCCGCGGCATGTGGGATCTTCCTGGACCAGGGCTCAAACCCGTGTCCCCTGCATTGGCAGGCGGATTCTTAACCACTGCGCCACCAGGAAAGCCCACCACCCTTTTTCTTTTTTTAGATTCCATATATATGCGTTAGCATACAGTATTTCTGATTTACTTCACTCTGTATGACAGACTCTAGGTCCATGCACCTCACTACAAGTAACTCAATTTCATTTCTTTTTATGGCTGAGTAATATTCCATTGTATATATGAGCCACATCTTTATCCATTCATCTGTCAATGGACATTTAGGTTGGTCCCATGTCCTGGCTATTGTAAATAGTGCTGCAGTGAACATTTTACACTTCAAACCTTGGATGCCTGGCTTCTCTTGCAAAAGGAAAGAATCTCACCACCCTAGCCCCCATTCCCTCACAGCCACACTCAGCTGGAGCTGATGATGGAGTCCTCCCTCAGGCAGATCTGGTGCTCCCCGACAGGCCCCAACTGGCATGTAGAACTCCTGATCCCACAGCAGAACTACCCCATTCCCCCTGCACACTGATGTAATGTGGGTACATACACCACAGACCCAAGTTCCCACACTGCACAGAGACCCCCAGGTGCAGAGTGGCTCGTATGCCCTAGTGTGTCTACACACATGTACACAGGATTCTAGACCTTTCTCTGCATTCGTGTGTCTGAATTTATTCTCCAGTTCTCTGTGCTTCAGTGTGTGTGTGTGTGTGTGTGTGTGTGTGTGTGTGTGTGTGTGTGAGAGAGAGAGAGAGAGAGAGAGAGAGAGAGAGAGAGGATATAAGCAAATGAATGAAGTGAAAATGAATGGAATGAATGAAATTTAAAGAGCCTCAGGGCAGGAAGGCTCGATCTTTCTGATCTTCCTTCCAACAAGGGCCTGCATCAGACACCTCCTCTTAGCACACACAGGGCCTTTCATGTGAGTACAAAGCCTGTTTCCACTTACAACCCATCTCTATGACCATGTCCCTTTTTCCTGAGTTCCAATTTAATAAATGTTTACTGAGCACCTACACTCCCTGCTGGGCCCTACTGCGGGCACTTCGCTCAGGAGTATTGTGTAGAACCCCCACGAGCCCCACGAGCAGTTATTACTATCTCCATTTTACAAAATGTGGCCAAGATCCCATGGCATGCATGTGGGGGCCAGGAGTTGAAAGCAGGTTCCCCAAGAATTGTTATCACTTAAAAGCCTGCAAACCCACACGCTCTTGTACCAGTGGCATCATTCCGCCCTCCTTCCCTGGTCTTCCAGGCCTCATCTGTAGATTCTCTACTTTATCCCACTGTTTAACATCAACCACGAGCAGCTTGAGGGCAGGGATATGTCTGGGTCCGCAGCCCCCTGCACAGGGCTTGGAACACAGCCAGCCCTCAGCAATGGTTTGGCAACCTGCCCAGGCAGACAATCCTTCCCACACACAGGGTGGCGAGTGCCTACTCAGGGCCAGGCTCTGCCCAGACTGCTCCCACTTTCCAGTAAACCAAGAGGAGAGGTGTGTTCATTGGCTTTTTTTACTTTTGGCACCAAAAGCATTTTCCTGAGTGCCCAGCCAGTAACAGGGACTGGCAGTGACCACTCCTGCCCAGTTGGTGTCCAGATGTGGTCCCCCACCCATGTCTTAAGCATCCTCCACAGAGCTCAGCCCCTGGAGTGGCCCAGGAACCCCCTTCCCAGACCAACACATTGATGCTTCCATATCCCAGAAAAAACCCAGGACACCCAAATTCTTGGAGCAGGGCTCTTTCACTTGGCAGGAACCCAAAACTTTTTCCTTAGGATGCCAGCAGAGTTAGGAAGAGGGTGGAGGAAAAGGAGGTTCCCTCTTACCTAGAGCTGCTATGTATCTGACACACAGGTTCAGAGATGCCCACCACTTACAAGGACATGCCCAGTAAATTATCCAAAACATAAGCAGAAACAGACAAGCTGACAATGATGCTGGTGTCCACTGCTCACACCCCACAACTGTACCAGTAACACTCCAGTTTCACATGCAGTCCAACAGGACCTGAAAAGCACACCCCAGTTCCACACTCATACCCCCAGGGGCCTTTTCCACATGCAACAGACATGGGAAGCCACGCAGTGTGAGCCACAGATCCATAGACCACATTGGTACCCACACCCCAGCAAGGGACAGAGCTGGTTACACACACACACACACACACACACACACACACACACAGACACACACACAGAGTTTACTACCCTCAGGACTGCTAAGACCCACCAAGATCCCCCCAGGCCCAGCACCCCACCCACTGGTGTGCACTAACACGCGGGGAGACAGACGCACAGCGGGAATGGGTAAGCTTCACAAAACCCAATCGATAGACACACGCACGAGTTGTACACAAAGCCTCGGGCTCTCAGATATGTCCACGCTGTTATACCCAAAGTTCCGCGCAGAAAGCCCCAGCACCCCGACTGCCCGCCGCACCCGCGCGCTCGCCAGCCCGCAGCTCACACCCCCTGCTCCTGCCCTTGACCACAAACGCCACTGGGCCGGGCCAGGCCGGACCGGGAAGAGCGGCGCCGGTTGCCAGGCGGCCAGGCGACCCACGAAGGCCAGGATCTGCGAGGACAGGCGTGCGCCCGGGTCCCCTCGCCTCGTGTCCTTCGGCCGGGCCGCGAGGTCAGGCTAGCTCTCCTTGGCCGCCCCTCCCCGCCTCGGGCCCTCGGTCTCCCGCCGCCCCTCGCAGTCCCCTTTTCGCGTGCGTACCTGTGCCGGGCCTCCCTCACTGCCTCCCCACGCGGGAGGCGAGGGCGCCGGGCAACGGCGAGGGCGCGTCCTCCCAGTGCGCCTCCCCGCAGCCGGTGCCCGCCCGCCGGTGTCTGTGCTGCGGCGCAGCCCGGGAGAAAGCGGGCCTGGCCGCCGCCTCCTCCTCGCCCTCCCCGGCTCCCGCCCCCTTCCCGGCCGGGCCCGGCCCGGAGACGCTGCCGCGGCGCACTTACCTGCTCGCTCCGCGCGGGGCTGTACCGAGGCGGCCACGGCCTCTGAGGGCTCCGGGGAGGGAGGACGGGGAAGGGGCGGGAGCCGGGGATCGCCGAGCGCAGCGGATCGGGCTCCGCCCGCAGCCGGCGAGGGCGCCGGGAGAGTTAGCGCGGGGAGGCACTGGGAGGAGGGTAACGGACTAGGGTGAGAGTGGGGGGACACGGATCCATCCTCCTGCCCTCCCCACCCCTTGGGGCAGATCTGTTTCGCCAGCACCTGGGCTTAGGGAACTGGAGCCTTCATCTCGTGGTGCCTGGGCGCAGCGGCGAGGCGCGGGGGTGAGTGCTGAAAGAGACCCCTCCCTCGGCCGCCGGCCTCGCCCCTCGGCTGGGGAGCCCCTACTGCGCCAAGCCCCCACTCTTCCTCCTCTCCTCACCCCCTCACACACACACAGCCCTCAGGTAGGACCCAGGGTCCTCTCCGAGGTCCTTAGGTCGGGATAGTCTTCTCTGGCGTTTGTGACTCCGTGGCTCAAGGGCGCCACCTGAAGGCTGAAAAGAAGCCTCTGAAGACCACCCCTCACCCCCAAACACACACACACGAGCGCGCGCGCGCGCACTCCTCCTTTTCCCCTGCTCTTCTTTTTTTGTGGGACACTGAGGTACACAGCCCAAGACGGGTGTTATCTTGGAGGATTACCAATGGCCACACACACCTTCTTCCTCCAAGGCCCAGCTGTAGTGCCCCCTCCCCTGGGAAGCCTAGCTCGCTGCCCCACACACTCCCTCGCCCCAGGGGCCCCTACAGCTGTGCTTTTTGCCTGCGTTATTGTCCTTATTTCTGAGAGTTGTGACTTTCAGTGAGTGCCAGCATCCCTCATCAGACTGGCACCTCCTGGAGAACAGGGCCCCTGTCTGATCCCCCCAGAGCCCATTGGTGGGTTTGGGTGAGCAGGTGGTGAGTAGGGCAGATTCCACTATTTCTCTCCATTAAAGGGCTCAGATTAGGGTGAATCAGTGAGATGCCTAGAGCACAAAAGTTAAGGAGACTCTCCCTCTTTGGGGGCCCAAGTGAAACCCAGAGAGGAGGTCCGTGTGAAGATCATGGGGTTTCCGGAAGTCTCCGTGGCCAGCTCACTCTCGTGGCCTCTGGTAAGTCCTCCCGCCTCTCTGAGCCTCAGTATTCGCCTCTGCCAATGGAATCATGAAAATGCAGACTCCAGGAGCTTTGGAAGTGTCAGCAGAGGTCAGCCATCTGGAAGGACAGATGTGAAAACCTGACATGTGAAAACCTGACATGTCCTGCTCCAAAGGCCTGTGCTGTCCTTGACAAGCAGGACAGTGGAGGCCACCCTGGAGGCCAGGTGCCCAGGCCTTTGAGGCCAGTGTGACAGAGACCTGGGCAGGACCTCCGGGGATGGGAGGGCTTCAGTCTCTTCCTGCCTTCCAGAAGCCTATTGTCAGGGACCTCAAAAGGAGCTGGCTGTGGCACCAGACTCCCGAGAGAATCCCAGCTCCACCATTCATGGCTGTGTGGCCTCGTCCCCTCTCAGAGCTCAGTTTCCTCATCTGTTTAATGAACTTAGCAAGGGTTATAGGGATTAGATGAGATACTCCCTGTAAAGCGTGCACAGTTCCCTCCCTCAGCCCTGCCTCAGAGCCTTTGCCTTTGCTGTTCCTTCTGCCTGGGACACTCTTCTTCCTGAGACCCCCAGAGCTCGCCCTCACTTCCTTCACATCTTTGCTCAAATGTCACCTTCTCAGAGACACCTTCCTACATCATCCTTTTAAAACTAGCAGTGCCCCAGCACCCTTTACTCCTTAACTCTGAATTTTTCTCCATAGCATTTATCAACTCCTGACAGTTGCTTATTTCTTTCTTTATTGTCACGACCACTAAAATATGTGTCAAGAGGCAGAAGCTTTGCCTGTTTCCCTCCCTCCTGTATCCCCAGACACTAGAAAAGGAGCCAACACATAGGAGGCCCTTGATAAATATTTATTGAATAAAGAATGGAGAAAATGAGCAAATATTTATTGAGCTCCTATTATATACTGATTAATTAGGTAGACTTCATCCCTACCCTCTAGAAGTTTGTATTCCGGTGGGAGAAAAGGATAAGTAAATGTAACACTGCCACAGAGCAAAGGTACATAGTGCTGTTCAAGCTTTCAGCAAGGTGCTGACCTAGTCGGGGAGATGGGGATGGCTCCTGGCTCCACTGCAGAAGTGAGGACTGAGCCGAGATTGAAAGGATGAATAGGAGGCAACTAGGTAAAGACAGCAGGAAGAGAGGCCCAGCAGAGGGACTGGCATGGGCAAGGGCCCTGGGGTAGAAGAGAGTATGGTGAGTGTGAGGCTTGACGGACACCAGGGTGGTTGCCCTGAAGGGCTCAATAAGGAACGTTGGAGATGAGGCTGGACTGTCAGTGAGCCAGGTCACTGAGAATCCTTGTAAGCCAAGCAGTTGGTTCTTTATCCCCAGAGCAGTGGGGAGTCATCGACCAGTGTGAGTAAAGAGTTAACAAACTTTTCCTCTTCTGCATGAGAATTTGACCTTTGGTTAACTGTCTAGCTCTGTTTCCTTGGAAACAGATAAACATATATCACTCTGTTACTAGGCAACATTGCTGTGATAAAAATGACCCCAAGGAGGAGCCTAGAATGATCCATGTGGTAATGGATTAGAATTGGAGATATCAGTATGAACTCATGTTTAACATAATATTGATGCAGATGAGTACGTATTTATGATACATGTATCATTTATGATACATATGATACATGTATTTATATACATATATACTATAAATGTATATATACACAAGTCAGTATACACTATATTTCCTTTCTCTGTCAGCTGAGAGAACCTAGCTGCATGACACTGCATAGCAACAAGCGCACCTGGTTCCCATATCTTGGTTTCTAATACCACTCTCCAATAAAAGGAACCAGGGAGAAATGGCTGATGCTAGGACTGGAGCAGGAAATGTACAAGACAAGCCTGGAGCATCTGATAGTGCCAGAAAGTAAGGAAGGAACAAACCACACGCGCGCGCACACACACACACACACACACACACACACACACACAATGATGGGGGTATGTCAAAGGACATAGGGGCTGACTAAAAGAGCTCCTAATAGCCAAAGTTAGAAAAATTTGATCAAAAAAATAAATATTGGATTGTAACCTAAAATATGATAAATGAAAAAATGGGGGGAAAAGAGAAATCTCTGATGCTGAATTCCAAATATTCCATCCTCAAGGAAGCAACATAACGCCCCAATTCTTTTTTTTTTTTAGACTCCTGTGTAGAGATTTTTTATACAATCTTTAAATGTTACATTCCATTTACAGTTATTACAAAATATTGGCTATATTCCCCCGGGTTGTACAATACATTCTGTAGCCTATCTTACACACAATAGTTTGTACCTCCCACCCCTCCACCTCTGTATCATCCCTCCCCTCTCCTCACTGGTAACCACTAGTTTATTCTCTATTATTTGTGCATAACTCCCCAATTCTTAAGTGTGGGCGGAGCATAGTGCCTTTCAGAGAGTACAGTATGGAAGTGGGGGTGGAGATAATTTTATAGTGGAGAAACTGACAAACGTGATTACCTCAGCCAGGGGATCAAAGTCAACATCAACAGTCCAATTATGTTAATAGTATGTATCCTCGATATGGTGTGATGGGACTGGCACTTTACCTCTGTGATCTCTCTCACAAAACTCATAACCCCAGTCTAACCAGGAGATAAACATCACACAAATCCCAGCTGAGGGACATTTTACAAAATACCTGACCTCAGAACTGTCGAAACAAGGAAAGTCTGAGAAACTGTCACAGCCAAGAGGAGCCTTAAAGATGCATGACGACTAAATGTACTGTGGTGTCCTGGATGAGATCCTGGAATAGGAAAAAAGGACATTAGGTAAATACTAAGGAAATCTGAACAAAATGTGGACTTTAGCTAATAATAATGGATCAATATTGGTTCATTAATTATAACAAATTTATCATACTAATATAAGGTGTTAATAATAGAAGAAATTGGGTATGGGTATATGGGAACTCTTTGTGCTATCTTCCCAATTTTTCTGTAAATCTAAAACTGTTCTAAAAACTGAAGGGTTTTTTTTTTTTCTTAAAGACCCTTGATTGGTAAATTGCATCTGGGATGAGAGGAACTATAAATACCTGGTGGGAAATCATATTTTGGGCTTCATGAGCATGGTGACTCCTGTAACTGGGCAGGTACAAAGGTATCGGCTCCCAGGGGACATGAAGCTTTTAAGCCACGATGACTCCTGCACCCACCAGATGGGGATTCATTTCCTCGAACCTGTGCTGTACTGCTCTGGTACACATGCAGCAAGGACTCCCCCGCTGAGAGGGAGAGTTGAGTGCGGGTGCTGACATTGAGTGCCATTCTAGCAAGCTGAGGTTCCTGTCTTACATCCATCAGAGTATGTCAATGCCAAGTATGGCTTGTGGTCATCTGTTGAGTCTGAGTGTGTAGTTGAACCTAAGAAGACTCCTTGTGGACATTGCAGTGGGTGATAAGCAGGAGAATGACGTGATCAGATTTGCATTTTGCAAACCTTCTCCCTCTGGCTGCTCCCAGGTGCAAGGGGACAAGAGAGAAAGCAGAGACCATCAGGAGGTTATTGTGGTCATGTTGGCATGTGATAAGTCCTCAATCAATTCACTGCAGTTATGTATCTATGAGACGTGTGGGTCTGTGAGAGAATGTTCTTGTAGAACATTAGAATATCACTTAATCCAGAATTTTCCGAAGGGTATGGTACATGACATGATTTCTTGGTGTTATATAGATAAATGTGTTTGGTTATCTATGGCTGCACCCCAAAATTTATCAGCTTAAAAGAAAATTATTTACTTGCTCAGTTTTGCAGTTTGGGCTGAATTTGGTGGGGACAGCTCAATTCTTCTCTACATGGTGTCAGCTAGGGTGATACAAACAGCTGGGAACTGGCTGTGGGTTCTCCTATTATCTACCACACTCTCCAGGTGGCTAGCGTGGGCTTCCTTATACAATGGTGGTCTCAAGGTAGTCAGAGTTTTTATGGCACTCAACTTTCCCAGAGTACAAAAGCAGAAGCTGTTGGAGCTTCCTAAAGCTGAGGGAACAGTCACAATGTCACTTCTGCTGCTTTCTATTGCTTTAGTGAATGTCACAGGCCAGCCCAGAGTCAAGGGGAGGGGTCTACATAAGTGTATGAATACTGAGAGGCATGGATCACTGGAGGCAGTAACAGTCTCCCACCATCTATCCTGTATCTGTATACACACACCCCCATATGTATATGTATTCATTTTAATGGCTAGGTATTTATTTTATTCTAATGTGTTTTAGAAAAATAGATAACTAGCTCAGGAAACTAAAGATATCATGGATAATATTGCTTAGAATGAGGACAGAAAAATATATGCATCTATATGAAGTTGGAGCAACATATTCTGCTGGTTTCCCCCACTATACACTCTCCTTTTCTTCCACTGGGATAGACTTGTTGACCGATAGCTAGCACAGTGCAATCAGAATAAGGATTCCATTTCCCAGCCTCCCTTGCAGTTATGTATGAACAAGTAGGCAATGAGCCATTATTCATCATCAGAGGAGAAGGTGTGGGCAAAATGTATTAAGTGTTCTTAAAGGAAGGGGATATGCCCTCCTTCTCCCCTTTTGTCATTCCTGCAGCCAGGATGCAGACCTGATGGCTGGAGCTGGAGCAGTAGTCTTGGACCATGAGCTGGAAGCACGTTAGGATGGGGGAGCAAAAAAATTGAAGGAACCTAGATCCCAGATGACCATGGAAACACCAGCCTGGGATAGTTTCCCACACTTTTTTTTTTTTTTTTGCGGTACGCGGGCCTCTCACTGCTGCGGCCTCTCCCGTTGCGGAGCACAGGCTCTGGACGCACAGGCTCAGCGGCCATGGCTCACGGGCCCAGCCCCTCCGCGGCATATGGGATCCTCCCGGACCGGGGCACGAACCCATGTCCCCTGCATCGGCAGGTGGACCCCCAACCACCGCGCCACCAGGGAAGCCCTTCCCACACTTTTATTTGTTAGAGAAATAAACTCTTGTATAAGCTATTATTACCTGGAATTTTCTGTCACTCAGAAGAGTTTTCCTATCTAATATGATCGGTTTAAAGACAAATACAAGTAAGTCAAAGTAGAGGTGGTAGGCAAAACCGAGAAGGAGGTATGTGAGTAGCTGAAGTTTGAAAAATACAGATCCAGTCTGACCTCCTGTGTTCCAGGTGAGAAAACTCTGAATACAGCCTTCAGTGTGTCCAAAAGGGTCATATGAAAGAATAACCCAGGCAAACTTAAAGTTTCACTAGGGGAAGAAAGGAGGAGAAAGGAAAAGTATTACTGGAGGAGGGAATAACTCTTAACAGGCTCAAGGATGAAGTAATAGTAATGAATTACTTGTGTGTTTATTTTAATTGACAAACACTTATGTAGCCCTCTCCAAATGCCAGGCAATATTCTAAGTGCTGTACAAACATTAACTCACTTAATTATCGTAACCACCTGTCATGCAGGTGCTATGATTATCTCCATTTTAAGATGAGGAAGTGGAGGCAAGAGTGGTTAATAACTTGCCCAAGGTGACACAGCCGGTTTACGACATTTCTGGGATTCAAATCCAGACCCCAACTAAGTGCTGATAGCCACTATGCTGAGTTCCATCATAATTTTCAAAGCATGTGCAAACTTCCTGAGCTGTTAATGTTATTCTCCCCACTCCCCCCCACTTTTTTTTTTTTGGCCGAGCCACAAGGCTTGCAGGATCTTAGTTCCCCAACCAGGGATTGAACCCAGGCCACCGCAGTGAAAGCGTCGAGTCTTAACCACTGGACCGCCAGGGAATTCCTAATCCCCTTTCTTACATTTAGGAAAATTGAATGCCAAAGAGAGGAGATCGCTCTGTAGCCACACTGAGGGGTAGTAGAAGTACAACCAGAACCAAGGGCCTGGACTTCCAGATGGATTGGGGAACCTCAGATAGACCTAAAGTCCCAGGGCTGATTGGCCGCATGCCTACTCTCCCTACCCCATTCAGTTTTATCTCCCACTCATTCACCTGGCGAGGGAATTGGGACTCACATCAACTGGGCAGCTTGCCTCAGAGTCACACCCAAGGCTAGTTGCGGCCAAGAAACACTTTTCCCACAGTTCCACTCTGCTTCCAGAGTCTCCACCACCTCGTCAGGGTCAGAGGCTGTGCTTCCCTGACATAAGGACATAGGGTTGTGTACTGGGTACCTGGGCATGGGACAGGTGTGTATAGGATACACGTACACAGGGTGCCTGTGTACAGAGCAGAAGGGCTAGAATACCCGTATACAGGACACTCATGCACAGAAGAGGTGCACGGGACTCATGTGTACAGGGCACACAGGGATAGGATGTGTCATAGGTTGAGTGCCCCCAGAAGCAAACCCGAGACAAGAATTTGAGGGCAAGTGGTTTATCTGGGAGGTGGTTCCAGGAAGCACTGCAGAGGAGTGGGGAAGTTCGACACGGAACGGAAGGGAAGGCTTCCGATGTACCAGTGGGCAAGACCATGGCTGCTGCAGGCAACTGGGACTCAGTCCTGCTGGACTGAGTATTGTCCCACCAGAGAGCTAAGGGAAGGGAGGTATTTATCTACAAACTCCTTTTTGCCAGCACGTCCAGCCTGTCCTCTGCACATGTCAAGCACGTTCCTTAAGCAGAGAGTCAGATGTACTTTGCAGTGGGAAGCCCTGGGCACATATGGAGAAGGGGAATGTCAGGGGGATGTGGGTGGAGCTCTGGAAGCATTTGCTACAGGACACAGAGGTGCAGGGCATGTTCAGGACCCATGAGTACACAGATAAAGAGCACAGGCAGAAGACAAATGATCAGATTACCAGCCTTGCTGTCTGGGGTGAAGCGAGGGCCTGCTGGGAGGGGGGAAATAGCACAGAAGAAGAGGCAGTGTTGGGACCCCCAAGTCAACTGGTCCTCCATCCGTGTGCTCCAGCTGGCTGCTGTGATGGCACGAGCTTGCATGGTAAGAAAGGTGGGCTTAAGGGCTCTCACAATGTGGAAGCTTCTCTCTGCTAAACTTCCACCTTATTTGGATTTTACAAAGTGGGGATGAGGGCGAAGGTGCCCAGGATAAAAGAGGGACCGCCCTCAAGGCTGGGTAGGGCCCTAGATTAGGAGTCAGACACGGAGGCAGAGCTCAGTGAGGTCACTGAGCCCACCTGCTACATCCAAGAGATGGAAGTAACTCTGCCCATGTGTCTCAGGGCAGGTCACCTACGACTCTTACACCTTGGGTTCCCTGTCTGTCCAGTGAGCATCACGGAAGTCCTCTCCCTGCTATGGACTTCACAGCGCTGTTGTGAGGAGCAGATCAGGTCTCAAACAAGAAGACACTTGTAAGAGAATAAAATATATAGGTGGGGGGATTATGGAAGGGCCTGAGTGGGGGCAGTCAAGGAACCTGGCTTCTCCCTCTAGCTCTGCTGCTATAGTTTTAGGATATTGGTTTGACTCCTGTAATAAAGAGGCCCAAAATGATAGTGCCTTTAATAAAACAGAATTCATTTCTCTTTCGTGTAAAAGCACACACAGCAGTTAAGGCTGATACGGTGGCTTCACAAGTCGCAGGAGACCTCAGTTCTTTCTATCTTGTTGCTCTGCCGTCCTCCACCTGGTGGCCCAAGATGGCTGCTCCACCTCCAGCCCTTGTGAGTATATTCCAGTCAGCAGAAGGAGAAGCAGGGGGAGGGGCAGGAATCCTCCTCCCTCCTTTTAAAGGCACAGCCCAGAAATTGCACACATCACATCCATTCATATCCCACTGACCAGGATTTAATCATCTGACCACACTTCCCTGCCGGGGAGTCTAGGGATAGTCTTTTGCCATGTGTGAATGGGAGAAGGGATATTGAGGAACAACCTGCAATTTTTGCCACAGCTGCTGACTTGTTTGGGCAACTCACATCACCATCTGAGCCATGGTTTCTTCATTTGCACATTTATTCATTCATCCATGCATTCATATATTCATGCATTCATATATATATATTCCGGGTTTGTGATATAAAGTATGATTTTTGAACCACTTGATGGCTAATGAATTCTCCTACTAGCTGGACCATAAGCCCTGTGAGGTCAGGTGTGAGGTCTTTTTACTCAGCGCCATACCTCTGGCATCCAGGGCAGAGTCTCGTCTGGCACATGGAGGCCAGCTGCCCATGGATGAGGCATGGATGGCCATTCTGGCTTTGACAATTGGTGAGGACATTTTTCCTCGCTGAGGAGTTTAAGTTCTTTCCTTTCCTAGGCCTCCTGGTTCCACCTCCCCTTCTCCCCATGTGCCAAGGCTTTCCAAGCCTATGAAATAAAACGTTCTCTGAGCCAGGATCGTGAGAGTAGGATTAAAAATAAATGAAAGTGTGTCAAAACAAGTTAACCACAAGAAATGTCTTCCCAGGATAATTCAATGTTGGCACTGCAGGCCAAGGACAGAGCATCAGACTCTAATAGCCAAGCACTCCTATCAACACCACTCCTCTGTTGGGCAGAGAACCTGCTGGGCTGCCCAGGATGGCAGCAGATGGCCTAGCCTGAGCCCCCGCTTGACCCTCCACCCCTGCAAGACAACAGGCAAGACCCTCCCACACAGGTCAGGGAGAACAGGTTCTAATTCCAACCCTGTTGCTTACCTGCTGGGGTGATCCTAGGAAAATCTATGCCTCTTTGAGCCTCAGTTTCCTCACCTGTAAAAAAGGGTTAATAATAGGCTCTTCATCAGCTATAACATGCAGATAACAATGGTGCCTACCTCGTAGGCAGACGTTCCCAAATGTTCTCAGTTCATGGCATCCTTATCATCTCTGTAATTTTTTCACAGTGCACCAGGCCCGAAGAAATGTCTAACAGTTGTTTGTTAAATTAGGTTCAAACAACTTAATGGTAGTTTGTACAGTATTCAACAGATATTATTGTATTTCCCTCAAATTTTAAAAATATTTTGCAGTGCCCCTGTGAGTTTTCTGAAGTGCCTCTGGGTGCCTTGGCGCTCAGTTTGGGAACTGCAGTCACAAGGTTTTGAGGATGAGATGAGGTTGTGTTGTCAAGGGCTTATCACGATGCCTGGTCTGGAGTCAGAGAGCAGTAAATGTTAATTGTCCTAAATCATCCTCCAGTCTCTCTAGTCCTTTCTGTGTCTCCTGCCACTGCCACCCAGCAACTCTTCCTGACTCCAGCTCCTGCCATCTCATGGTTTCTGCTTGCTGCCTTCCGTCTGGACCCCTCGGGGTCTGTGGCCCTGCTTCTGAACTAACTTCCTTCTAGTATAGAATCGCCAGCCCCCCTTCTTCATTCCTCCCTAACTCCACACGTGGCACAATCTCTTCATAGGTGGAGTATACATTCTGGCCTCTTAATTTGGGGCTTGGCTGTGTGACTCACTTTGCTTACATGGCAAAAGTGACAGCTTGGGGCTTCCCTGGTGGCGCAGTGGTTGAGAGTCCGCCTGCTGATGCAGGGGACACGGGTTCGTGCCCCAGTCCTGGAAGATCCCACATGCCGCCGAGGGGCTGGGCCGGTGAGCCATGGCCCCTGAGCCTGCGCATCCGGAGCCTGTGCTCCGCAATGGGAGAGGCCACAGCAGTGAGAGGCCCGCGTACCGCAAAAAAAAGAGGCCTCACATGGTTCCACTTGCTCTCTATCCTCTGCCGTTGCCAAGAGAAGAACTTGCCCCAGTAGCCCAGTGATTCTAGGAGGAGGACAAGAGACCCATGGCGAAGGCACAAATCTGCAGACCTGAAGACTGATGCAGACCACCTTAGCCAAACCACAAACTCAAGAGCAAAAATAAACAGTTGTTGTTTGAAGGTATGGAGTTTTGGAGAGTTTCATTACACAGTAGTCTTGGGACAATCCAACCCCTCTGACTGTGGCAAATTCAAATTCTCTGAGAGAAGGTCTGATTGGATCATTTGCTCACCACCCAGAACATAGCTGCTTTCACACCATCACCCACGAGCCGAGGGTCTCCCTCCTGTCCAGTCTGCAGGTGGCTGCCTTGGGCTGGGACACCCATTTCTGATCCAAGCAGTTGTCCCATAATTACATGGTCAAGTGACACAAAGCCTGGTGACCTGCCTGGAAGCAATCATTTCTGGCCCCTGTGTTCAGAAGGGGTGTGAGTGTGGTAAGCAGGAGATTCTTGGATCCTCTTTGGTTCTAAAGAGTAACAGCTAAACTAGGAGAAATTGCACATAAAATTTTCTCTGCCTGTGGCAGTCAGGATGCAACTTAAGCTGTAAAATCCAGGATATAAGAAATGTGATTTTTCTTACAACTCATTTCTGTAACTATTTTGAGCCTCATTATGCTTAAGATGGAAAGGATGAGGCTCAAGCTCACTTAGAAAATTTGGTACAACCGGGTCAGAACCCAGTTGTCCTGGCTTCCTGTACAGTGTCCTGGCCCCCTTCCCTGCGCAGTCAGTCTCACACTTGGAAGGATGCTGCAGGTGCCATCTCTGAGCCAGTGGAGCCCCTTCTCCAGCCTCCCTGATCGTCTGGGCTGTGCTTCCCCACTCCACTGGCTGAGTGCCCACTGCCTGGAAGAATTCTAAGCAACACTTTCCTCCTACTGAGTCGTAATCTGCCTCCCTATGTCCTGTATCACCTGCCCTAACTCTGTCTTCTGGCACTACACTTAAATGTACACTCCTTTTTCTTTAATTTATAAACATTTACTATAAATTTTACTTCTATAAATTCTATTTAGTTATTTTTCATATCTGCCTTTTTAAATAGTGTCTTTTTTCTTATGTTTTTGAATTCTTTTGTATGACTTTAATTTTTTTCAAAATACTTTTTGTGTTTTAATCTCATCTGAAGTTCTTAGGGGAAGTGGGGTCTAATCCTGCTGTTGCTGGTGTCTGCTGACTCTCACTTATAGTGGATGGTTTCCTTGTGTGGTTTGTAATTTGGGGCTAAGAGTTCACCTTCAGTGGACCTTTATCTGTGGACAGCTTGTGTAGCCCAGTTGAGGGCAAGTACCTCCAAAACAGGTTACGTTTGCTTTGCTGGTCACCTCAGCTCCTTACCTGGGATCACTATGTTAATTCTTAGTTTGGGGTTCCTAGTTCAAGTGGATAGAATACATTTTTTTAAAGCCTGCATGAGACTAGATCCTATTTATTGGCGTCATAATATTAACTTGATTATAGTTTGTTTCCACCCACTAGGATGTCAGCTCCAGCCTTTGTCTCTCTGATTTTGGGCTCTACTCCTCTATCTGCCTACAGCAGAATTTTAAACACAGTAGGCACTCAGAAAGTATTTGTTGAAAGAGAGAATTAAAGGATGCCCACTTCACAGTGTGTTGTGAAGAATAAATGGGGTGTCAGAACTGTGTTTGCCCAATTAAAAATTGGGTTTCTTGTCTCATATAACAGGCAGATGATGTTGGGGGTTCTGTGACTGAGTGATTTCAATGACTCTGCAATTTTCTTGGCCTTTGTCTTAGGGTTGCAAGATGGTTACTGTAGCTCCAGGCATCACATCCACATTCAAGGCAGAAGGAAATAGAAGAAAGTAAGAGTAAAGGGGGAGCATCCCTGACATTTTTCCTTATCGTGTAGGTAACATTTTCCTAGAAGTCTAACAGCAAATTTCTGCTTTGGTCTCATTTGCTAGAAATGGGGCGCATGGGCATCCAGAAGAAAGGGGACTTGGAAAGTGAGCATTTCCCTTATCTATAGACTCCATAGGTAGGTGAGGGAGGGAGGGAGAGGACTGGGGACACAGGTGTGCCATCTGCCCCAGATGAGCTTTTATCTCTGTGTGTGTGTGTGTATAACAAAGCATTGAGAGCAGAACAAGCCCTCAGAAAGCGGGCACCTATTTTCATAATAATTATTAATTTTATCATTTAAAGCTTTATAGTCTCTGTGATCCTGTTGGCATCAGATTTGGATTCTGGAGCCCACAGGCTCTGAGGCACCCATACCCCAGTGATCTCCCTCCCCCCGCCCCTTGTTCTATTCAGAGTACTGAAGCCCTTTAAAAAAAAAACACACACTACATTTTCCAATGTCAGCTACTTCCTGCTCTCATTAACTCCATCCTCAGTGACTTAGCCAGACTCTGCTCCTGGCCTGCAGCAGAGAGCAGACTGTCCAAATCAAAGGTCCCTCAGGCCCGTCACCAGGTCAGCATCAAGGTCTCTCCCAAGGACGCTGAGATGAAAACAGCAGAAGAGCCAACCTCAAGTCTTGGGCAGACCCTGGAGTGGCTGAGAAAGGAGCTGGTAAGTCTTTACATTTCTTTTTACCTGGTGCTTTCACACAATATATTCCAAGGCTCCCTGGTTCCCCACTCCCAGGTGCCCCCTAGGCTGGGGCAGAGCTTCAGGCTGGGGTATAGGCCCTGCAGGCACCCCTCTGGGACCAGCCACACAGTGCACAATCACCACCTCAGGTGCTGGGATAAGTAGGTCGTGGCCTACATAGGAGGCTCTGGGTATAGTACTTGCCTGACTGGTTTTAGAATTACACTGAGTCCTGGTATGTGCCCAGCTCTGCAGCTGTGTGACCTCTAGCAAGTGGCTTTACCTCTTTGAACTTCAGTCTCCTTATTGTAAAATGGGGATAACCATAGTACCAGCACCACAAGGGTTATTGTAAGAATTTGGTGAGGAGATGGTGTAATTCACTTAGCGCCTGCGTTGGCTGTTACAATCCTGACCCAGCTGGGTATGGAGTACATCAGCTGTCTTAGCCTGGGTCTTCTAGAAAGCAGAGGCTTGCAAGGGTTGGGGTATTAACCGTTTATTTGGAGGTACAAGCCCAGAGTGGTGAGAGTGAGGGAAATAGGGAGTGGAGGCAAAGGCCGATGCTATTTGAGGAGATGCCTTGCGTTACCAAGCTGGCTGCCACTTAGAAAGGAGCCCTAAGGAGGCCCAGAGGCCCTCTCAGCAGCCGGTTTACCTGGCTGCAGGATTCTCTGCAGGGGTTGAAGGAGGATCTGCACCCTGGGGGAGAGAAGAAGAGGAAGTTTATCTGCCCAGCTCACTCCTGTCTCCCATTTCCTGTCTGTAAGGCTCCACCCCATGGGGCACTAACTCACCTGAACTTATGAGCTGTGTCACTTGGCCCCTCAGTGGCCGCTCAGGAAGCCAGGCCTTATGTCTCTCCTTGTGATGTTTTCTCCAAGTCCAAAAACAGAAGGGAGCCCCAAAGTATGTGGGGACACCAGCCCAGAGAGAGAAGGAGGTGGTCTGGGGAACCACAGAAGGCACCCAAAGTTTGTATTCCAATAACGCCAGCTTCTTCTGGGGAGGGACAGAGAGGATTGTCCAAAAATGACCTGTCTGGGTTGCCAGGCAACGGACGAGCTGGGAACCAACCCTGTCCTCACCTCGGTGGGAGGGGCTGACCCAGTAGGGCTTCTCATGGGCCCGGGGGACTCCAGCAGCAGGAACTGCAGCCACTTACAGTCCTCAGGGATCTAGAGGCTGGGTGGCAGTCCCACCCCGTGCTCCCCCTAAACACTAGACACTATGCTGGGACTGCTTAGTACCTGAACCCAAAGTGCCAGCTTCCACTTGATAAAGTACCTCTCTTCTCTCCTACCGATGAGGAGGGAGAACAGGTAGGGGTGGGGGGAAGCCTACCCAGGGCACAGCCTCCCGGGGCCAAATGTCCTCTGCCTCCACATATGACAAGAGATGAGCCCTGAGTCTCCACTTGCTGGTCCCTGACTTGCAAATTTCTCAGTCAAGTGTGTTTTTAACCTCCATCACAGGGAATTTACATGACATCACAAGGGCTCCCCTGTGGAGCCCAGCCAAGAAGCCCCCCTTGACCATCAGTGAAGTATGTCAGTCACTTTATGCAGCAGAAGGAACAAGTCAGTAACCCCAGCAGCTACCACTGATGAGCACTGATGAAAGTCTGGTGCTCTCCCTCCTTTCCTGGGATTATATAAGCCCCCAAAGTCCTGGTGGGATCTAAAACAGGGAGAGAGCCTTGAAAGGCAAGTAATTTGCTTTCTAGTTTGCAAATGAAGAAACTGAGGCTTCGGTGGACATGGCTTCTATGAGGCTGTGGGCTTGTCTCCAATGAGACAATGATAGGAGCAGGCTTTCTGGGGGAACATCCAGCACTCTGGCCGCCCCCTCACAGACTCCTTCTTTCTCCTAGGCTGAGATGCAGGTCCAAGACCAGAGACTTCTGCTCACGCTGAAGCATCTTCACAGTGTCCTGCAGGAGCTGCGTGCGGAGAGTGCCCACTGGGAGGATGCCAGATCCAGTGGCGGAGCCTCCCCCATCAGACCTCGGGCGGGCTCTGAAGGCAGGGGCCACCAGCCCTTTTCCTCCAGGGGCCTGGCCCAGCTCCTCCAAGGGGCAGACAGCAGACGAAGCTCCCTCCCTTAACAGGCCAGAGATGACCCTGACTTTAAACCCTCCCCCCACTAGTCTAAACTTTGATTGTGATGAGAGAGAGCACTGGAATGGGAGTCAGGAAGGCCGGTCTCTGGGTTCACCCCTGCCTTCATTCACTGTGTGTCCCTGGACCTGTCACTCAGCTTCTCTGTGTCACTCTTTCCTCTCCTGTCACTTCTCAGGATTTTTGCACAAATGAAGTATCAGATGTGAACACATTTGGAAAACGCAAACATGTTACATGGCTTCTGGCAAGCACCACGGTGGTAATCCTATTCTTAGGAATTTCCCACAAGGTGATTGTTAAAACAAAGAAAGAGCTCAGTGTGCCCGGATGTTTATCTAGTGTTGCCATGGCAAAAATACAGAACCCCGTGCAGTGACTTGATGGTTGTTTTCTGTCTTCCCGGCAGGCCTTCTTATTCCCCTTTATCTGAAAGAAACAGGCCCTACAACCAGCCTGGCCATAAGGATGGGCATGTAACCAGGCCTGGCCAATTACAATTCATGGTCATCCTAACAACATGATTGGCCCAATGAGTGGGCATGTGGCTCAACAGAGCCAATCACAGCCCTTCTCTGGGATTGCCCTCTTGATTCTTGTTCTACTGTGGTCGCAAATCTGGGGCTGCCAGTGGCCATGATTCCTGTCAGGTGAGGGAGACCTGCTGGCAGTATGAAAGAAAGAGGCTAATCTTCAAAGAGAAGCAGAGAGAGGACCACACAAGAGATGGGCAGAGAGGAAGGGTGCTGGCTCTTTTTAGTCCCTGGTTTCAGACCCTAATTCTGTGAGTTACTCCTGCTGTCTTTCCAGAGCAGAAGCCAGTAGATTCTACCACCACCACCCACAAAGGCACACACCAGTTTGTTTTTGCTTAAGCTGATTTGAATAAGGTTTCCCTTATTTGCAACCAAAATAGTCCGGATGGTCAAAGAAGCAAAGAAGAGAAATCATGAAAAAAATGGCATTTCTGACAACCGAGTTTGGCAGGCAGGCAACAAGGTGTATGTTGTGGCAGAACCCTCAATTCTTTGGGGTGCAGGAGTCATAACTTTGAAAAATTATATCTGCCTATAAGAAAGATATAAATGGAACAGGTAAAAATAAAGTCCTGGTGTTAACATGGTCCGATTATCGTCAGGCCTTTTTATTTTTGAAAATCTTCTTGCATGTTGCTAGGATATTGCTTTTAATGGCCTTGAAAAAGTAAATCCATTGCATACAGAAGCAAAGGGTGGGAGGGCTGCATTATATGTACTATGGTTATGGTCAGACTAATCTTGGGTTTCTATATAATATTTGATAATACAAAAAAATAGTTCTCCATCAATGGCTGAATGGATAAACAAAATGTGATATATACATGAAATGGAATATCATTCAGCCTTGAAAAGGAAGTTAATCCCGGCACATGCCACAAGATGGGTGGACTTTGAACACATTGTGCTAAGTGGAGTAAGCCAGTCACAAAAGGACAAATATGATTCCACTCATACGAGATACTTAGAGGAGTCAAATTCATGGAGACAGAAAGTAGTTCTGGTTGTCAGGAGTTTGGGGGCAGGGGGTTGGGGGGTCATTTAAGGGGTGCAGAGTTTCAGTGTTGCAAGATGGCAAAAGTTCTGTGGATGGATGGTGGTGATGGTAGTATAGCAACGTGAATGTACTTGATGCACTATATACTTTAAAATGGTTAAAATGGTAATATTTATCATATGTTATATTTTACCACAATTAAAAATAAATACTTTAAAATTTTAAATTACCTGCTCTGTGATGCTAGGGCTGGAGTCCCACAAACCCTATTTCTGCATTACTAGCTGCTCCAGGTTAGACTTTGCCAATAAGCAGGGTGGGGCTAGAGGGACACCACAGGGCTGGAGGAGCGAGAAAAGACTTGCTTCTTCATCTTTGTTCTTTGTAGCTTCCTGTGGCCTTCCTACTCTCATGAACATCACCCAGCAATGCTCCTTCACCTCAAAGCAGCAATTCCTCCCTGTGGCACCAGCCAGAACCCCCTTCTCAAGGCTGTAGGCGCCAGTCCTGGGGGGCCCTTCCCCCAACCTCAGAGACACCAGCTCCAGATGGCCAGCATCCCCTCCCCTGAAGTCTCAGTTCCTGTCCTCCCTGGCTCCTCTCTGCTCTCTGAGACTTGAGCCCAGCTGAGCAGAGCTCCCTTCTCAGATGCCTGAAGTGGAGCTCTGCAAGGCTGAAAGCTTTAATAATGTCAGTCTCCTCTCTTTGCTCCCTCAGCCCTGGGAGTGGTAGATGCTTCCTGCAAGTGCTACCTTCATTCTAAGAGTTCTTTTTATAACCTTTCGGTCATCCAGTTAACAACTTTATACCTAGTTAGCAATTCTTTATATTAAATTCTCTCTGTTAAAATAATCAGTTTTTGGCTATAATTACCAATGCTGCTGTGATCACTTTTGTTCATGTGCCCCGGTACACAAGCCCAGTGCCCCTAGGATATACAGGTTTTCTCCCACTAACTGAAAGTAAAGCATTCCTATGGAACCTTTCACAAGCCAAAATTGGGTATAGTGAAGAAGCAATTACCTTAGGACACATCTTGCTAAAAGAGGCCCAAAATAAATTGAGATAAAGTACAGATGCTCATAGACACAGGTCAAAGCCAGGTCAAAGCTATGGTGGCTTCATGCAGAAATGCTGAGTGCCGTTCCTGGGGAAGTAGCTTGGCGGTGCCACTCCCCCCCAGGGTGTTTGCTGCCTCTGTAACGGCTCACCCCAGATCAAACGCTGAACACCATTTTCACTTTTCACCTGTTTTTGTAAAAGTGAAAATCATCTTTGGCTTTCTTTCAGTTCATGAAAACAGGTACTAATGTAGCTCTTTCATGAAAGCAAAGTGGCATAAAGTGAGCTTTCGAAAAACAACGGATACCTGTAGAGCAAAGAGTTGAACTGGAAGTACGTGTGTGAATACTCAAGTTTACAAGAAGCGTGTTTTCCAAAGTGGGGTATTCACTTAAACTCCCACAAGCCGTGTCCAAGAGTTCCTGTTGCTCAACATTCTCGCCAACACTTGGTATTATCAGTCTTCTTAATTTTTGCCAATATAATGAGTGCAAAATGGTATTACACTGTGATCTTAACTTGCATATTCCTACAAATGTGGTGGTTAACCTGAGTTTTAATTCCACCTCCACCATTTACTTACTTTTTGATCTTAGATGAATTACTCAACCTCTCTGAGCCTCATCTGTAAAAGAAGGGATAATAATATCTACCTCATAGGATTATTATTTATATTGTATAGGAGAATGCATATAACTCACTTTACACAGCACTGAGCATTGTAAAGGCTAATAAGTGACAGCTTGTTATTATTGCTGTGTAATCACAAATATAATGATTTCTGAAACTATGACTATTACAAGTAGACAAGCTTGCTAGCAACCATCATTAGGAGAGATATCTGCCTGGCCATGCAAAGTAACAATGACATTGGTTTTCCATGCCCAATGCCAACAACCTGCACCCTCTGCCTCTCCCAGCTTCCCACAGCTGGGCCCCCAGACCAAAAACATCTGCCAGTCCCCCCTCTACCAATCTGCAAAGATAAACCTGACCCTCTGCTTGGGTATGTGTTGTTCTCCAGACCCCACCTCTGGAACCAATGTTCAGTTCCTGATCCCAGGTCAGAACAAGCTCAGTCTGAGCCCAGATGCTGGGGGACAAGGGGGTTGGAGTGGCAATGACATCCTCAGTGTCGGTTCCTCGAGGGCTGGGTTATAGATCATGTTCATCCACGAGAGCAAGTGAGCACTAGAGGGAGCCTGTGGATCATGGTCACAAAGGAAAATCTGGGGTTTTCTCTGCTGAGGCAGCAAAAACAGGACTGTACACCCAAGCCTCCCATCCAAGGGTGAGGAGAGAAGGGGACACAGGTGGGGAAAGGACGGATGGGGGTCAGAAGCTAAAAAATTAGGAGCAGAAGAAGAACAGTTCAAGATGTGATACCTATTGTCAGGGCCGGCAGTTCAGGACTCACCCTGTGACTAACCAGAAAGGATCAGAGGCTCACTTTTACCTGGGGCCAGCGTCCAGCCCTGGGCCAGGCTTGATGCCTTACAGCGCCCAAGTGTTCTGGCAGGTGTGTAACAAAATGCTCCCAAACTTAAAACAAAAACAGTCACTTCATTATTGCAACAACCATTCATCATTGCAGTAAAATCACACTTCCCACGGTTCTGGGGATTGACTGGGTTCAGCTGGGTGGTTCTTGCTTTTGGTCTCTCAAGTGGCTGCAGTCAGATGGTGTCCAGCTTGATTCATCTCAAAGGCTTATTCACATGTCTGGCAGTGGACGCTGGCTGTTACCTGGGACCTTAGCTGATGCTGTCACCTGAAACACCTACCCATGACTCCTCCCTGTGACCTAGGCTACCTCATAGCATAGTGGCTGGTGCCAAGAACAAGCATCTGAAGAGAGCCAAGAGGAAGCTGTATAGCCTTTATGACTCAGTCTTGGAGGTCACACAGTGTCACATCCATTGCATCTTATGCAGCAGAAGCCAGGCACCAAGGCCAGCTCACATTCAAGGGGAAGAGAATTAGACCACCTCTTGATGGGAGGAGCATCAAAGAACTTGTAGACATGTTTTAAAGCCACCACACCATGTAAGACTGGATGGGTTTCCAGTGTGGCACATCAGCTGCAAGGAATAGGCATCGACACTTTGTAACCTCAGGCAGAGTGATAAGACAGAATCTCATCAAAATCCACGGGCAGGAACTCCAGGAGGTGAAGGGTAGGTCTGGATCTACAAGAGTTCACTCCATCACTCCAGCATCACTGTGTTTCAGTGTGCTACTGAGAGGTGGGCTCAGCTCTGCTGCTGTGACAAACGAACTCAAGGCCTCAACACGACCAAGGTCCATTCCTGGCTCACACTACATGTCCTATGGCTCTATTATGGGGGGGGGGCTCCTGCTCAGGGACCCAACCACCATCTGTGCTGTCACCAGATGCTACAGCAGGGAAGATACATAAGGAGAGTCACACACTGTCTCTTCCACACTTTAGCCAGGCAGTGAAATGTGTCCCTTCTGCCCACAGCCCATTGGCTAGAGTTGGTCACGTGGTCTGTCCCAGCGTGGGGGCTGGGAAATGTGAGGAGTGGATGGAGAGTCTGGTGAACACCCCCATGTCAGACACATCCTCCATTCTCTCTCAACAGACCAGCTTCCTCAGCGTGTCAGAGTGGGTCCTCATCAGTCTCCACCACTGTGCGCACTAAGAGTGCGGACCCCCAGGCCCACCCATGCCTGCTGAACCAGAGCCTCTGAATTGGGGTCGGGGGATTGAGTTTCCACAGCCCCCACTCCCCCAAGGGAAGTCTGAGAACCGGGGCTGGGGGCTGTTCTGCCATCTGTCCTAGCTCCTAGCTTCAGTTTCCTTTAACTATGTCTGGGCTTTACTTTGTCTTCTTTCTGCATATTTTCATTGTCCACTCCCACTGCTAAAGATAGCACTCTCCTGTTATTTCTCTCTGTCAAAGTCTAGAGAGAGGTCTAAAAACAACAAATGCTGGAGAGGGTGTGGAGGAAAGGGAACCCTCTTGCACTGTTGGTGGGAATGTAAATTGATACAGCCACTATGGAGAACAGTATGGAGGTTCCTTACAAAACTAAAAATAGAATTACCATATGATCCAGCAATCCCACTACTGGGCATATACCCAGAGAAAACCATAATTCAAAAAGACACATGAACCCCAAATTTCACTGCAGCACTATTTACAATAGCCAGGTTATGGAAGCAACCTAAATGCCCACTGACAGATGAATGGATAAGGAAGATGTGGTACGTAAATACAATGGAATATTACTCAGCCATAAAAAGGAATGAAAATGGGTCATTTGTAGAGATGTGGATGAATCTATAGACTCATACAGAGTGAAGTAAGTTAGAAAGAGAAAAACAAATATCATATATATGTGGAACCTAGATATATGTTCCATATATATATATGGAACACATATATGTGGAACCTAGAAAAATGGTACAGATGAACTGGTTTGCAGGGCAGAAATAGAGACACAGATGTAGAGAACAAATGTATGGACACCAAGAGGGGTAAGCGGCGGGGTGGTGGTTGTGGTGGTGTGATGAATTGGGCAATTGGGATTGACATGTAAACACTGATGTGTATAAAATTGATGACTAATAAGAACCTGCTGTATAAAAAATAAATAAAATAAAATTCAAATAAAAGTTTAGAGAGAGGGAATCTGATGGATCAGCTCAGCCTTTGACATCTGAACACATCATAGGTGGTTGGTATAAGGTAGGTTTGTTTTCTCCTCCCCCTCCTCTTCTTCTACCTCTTCTCCTTCATCATCATCGTCAATACACAGGTAATACAATGCAATGATTAAGAGTGAGGGCCTTGACACCAGGCTGTCTGGGTTTGAATCCCAGTTCTGCTACTTATTAGCTCTGTGACGTTAAGCAAATAACATAAATTTTCTTGCCTCTCTTTGCTCCTCCATAAAGCAGGGATACAACAGAAATTACCTCATACAGCTATTGAGCAAATGCAGTGAGTCAACATGGTCCTGGCACATCAATCTTAGCTATTATAATTAATAATAACAGCTACCATTTTAAAGCTCAGGATAGTGTAGTGGCTGTAAGTACAGCCTGTAGCCTCACTGCCAGTCTTTGAATCCTAGCTCTACCATTTACTCATTGTGTGGGCTTGGGCAAGTCATTAAACTCTCTGTGCCTCAGTTTCACCATCTATAGAATGGGAATAATAATGTACCTACCTCCTGAGGATGATGTGAAGAACAATGAGTTAATACATGCAAAACGTGATTGGAACCAAGATGTTGGAGTAGAAGGATGTGTTCTCGCTCCCTCTTGCAAGAGCACCAGGATCACAACTAGATGCTGGACAATCATCAACAGGAAGACACTGGAACTCACCAAAAACGATACCCCACGTCCAAGGACAAAGGAGAAACCACAGTGAGACAGTAGGAGGGGCACAACCATAGTAAAATCAAGTCCCATAACTGCTGGGTGGGTGACTCACAGACTGGAGAACACTTATACCACAGAAGTTCACCCACTGGAGTGAAGGTTCTGAGCCCCACGTCAGGCTTCCCAACCTGGGGGTCCAGAAACAGGAGGATGAATTCCTAGAGAATCAGACTTTGAAGGCTAGTGGGAATTGATTGCAGGACTTCGACAGGACTGGGGGAAACAGAGACTCCACACTTAGAGGGCACACACAAAGTGGTGTGCACATTGGGACCCAGGGGAGAATGAACCACACCTACCTGCTAGTGTTGGAGGGTCTCCTGCAGAGGAGGGGGCTGGCTGTGGCCCACCGTGGGGACAAGGACACTGGCAGCAGAACTTCTGGGAAGTACTCCTTGGCGTGAGCCCTCCAGGAGTTGCCATTAGCTCCACCAAAGAGTCCAGGTAGGCTCCAGTGTCGGGTTGCCTCAGGCCAAACAACCAAACAAACAACCTGGGTGGGGAACCCAGCCCCACCCATCAGCAGTCAAGCGGATTAAAGTTTTACTGAGCTCCGCCCACCAGAGCAACAGTCAGCTCTACCCACCACCAGTCCCTCCCATCAGGAAACTTGCATAAGCCTCTTAGATAGCCTCATCCACCAGAGGGCAGACAGCAGAAGCAAGAAGAACTACAACCCTGCAGCCTGTGGAAAAAAAACCACATTCACAGAAAGATAGATAAGATGGAAAGGCAGAGGGAGGGACAGATGAAGGAACAAGATACCAGATGAAGGACCAAGATAAACCCCCAGAAAAACAACTAAATGAAGCGGAGATAGGCAACCTTCCAGAAAAAGAATTCAGAATAATGATAGTGAAGATGATCCAGGACCTCGGGAAAAGAATGGAGGCAAAGATCGGGAAGATGCAAGAAATGTTTAACAAAGACCTAGAAGAATTAAAGAACAAACAAACAGAGATGAACAATACAATAACTAAATGAAAACTACACTGGAAGGAATCAATAGCAGAATAACAGAGGCAGAAGAACGGATAAGTGACCTGGAAGACAGAATGGTGGAATTCACTGCTGCAGAACAAAATAAAGAAAAAGGAATGTAAAGAAATGAAGACAGCCTAAGAGACCTCTGGGACAACATTAAATGCAACAACATTCGCATTATAGGGGTCCCAGAAGGAGAAGAGAGAGAGAAAGGACCAGAGAAAATGTTTGAAGAGATTATAGTCGAAAACTTCCCTAACATGGGAAAGGAAATAGCCACCCAAGTCTAGGAAGTGCAGAGAGTCCCATACAGGATAAACCCAAGGAGAAACACATTGAGACACATAGTAATCAAACTAGCAAAATTGAAGACAAAGAAAAATTATTAAAAGCAGCAAGGGAAAAATGACAAATAACATACAAGGGAACTCCCATAAGGTTAACAGCTGATTTCTCAGCAGAAACTGTACAAGCCAGAAGGGAGTGGCATGATATACTTAAAGTGATGAAAGGGAAGAACCTACAGCCAAAATTACTCTACCTGGCAAGGATCTCATTCAGATTTGATGGAGAAATCAAAAGCTTTACAGACAAGCAAAAGCTAAGAGAATTCAGCACCACCAAACCAGCTCTACAACAAATACTAAAGGAACTTCTCTAAGTGGGAAACACAAGAGAAGAAAGGACCTACAAAAACAAACCCAAAACAATTAAGAAAATGGTCATAGGAACACACATATCAATAATTACCCTAAAAGCGAATGGATTAAATGCTCCAAACAAAAGACACAGGCTTGCTGAATGGATACAAAAACAAGACCCATATATATGCTGTCTACAAGAGACCCACTTCAGACCTAGGGACACATTCACACTGAAAGTGAGGGGATGGAAAAAGATATTCCATGCAAATGGAAATTAAAAGAAAGCTGGAGTAGCAATACTCATATCAGATAAAATAGACTTTAAAATACAGAATGTTACAAGAGACAAGGAAGGACACTACATAATAAACAGGGGATCAATCCAAGAAGAAGATATAACAATTATAAATATATATGCACCCAACATAAGAGCACCTCAAAACATAAGGCAACTGCTAACAACTATAAAAGAGGAAATTGACAGTAATGCAATAATAGTGCGGGACTTTAACACCTCACTTACACCAATGGACAGATCATCCAAAATGAAAATAAATAAGGAAACAAAAGCTTTAAATGACACAATAGACCAGATAGATTTAATTGATATTTATAGGACATTCCATCCAAAAGCAGCAGATTACACTTCTCAAGTGCGCCCGGAACATTCTTCAGGGTAGATTACATCTTGTGTCACAAATCAAGCTTCAGTAAATTTAAAGAATTGAAATCATATCAAGCATCTTTTCTGACCACAACACTATGAGATTAGAAATGAATTACAGGGGAAAAAATGTAAAAAACACAAACACATGGAGGCTAAACACTGCATTACTAAATAACCAAGAGATCACTGAAGAAATCAAAGAGGAAATCAAAAAATATCTAGAGACAAATGACAATGAAAATACAACAATCCAAAACCTATGGGATGCAACAAAAGCAGTTCTAAGAGGGAAGTTTATAGCTATACAAGCCTACCTCAAGAAACAAGAAAAATCTCAAATAAACAATCTAACCTTACACCTAAAGGAACTAGAGAAAGAAGAATAAACAAAACCCAAAGTTAGCAGAAGGAAAGAAATCATAAAGATCAGAGCAGAAATAAATGAAAGAGAAAATAAGGAAACAATAGCAAAGATCAATAAAACTAAAAGCTGGTTCTTTGAGAAGATAAACAATATTGATAAACCATTAGCCAGACTCATCAAGAAAAAGAGGGAGAGTACTTAAATCAATAAAATTAGAAATGAAAAAGGAGAAGGTACAACAGACACTGCAGAAATACAAAGCATCCTAAGAGATTACTACAAGCAACTGTATGCCAATAAAATGGACAACCTGGAAGAAATGGACAAATTCTTAGAAAGGTATAACCTCCCAAGACTGAGCCAGGAAGAAATAGATAATATGAACAGACGAATCACAAGTAATGAAATTGAAACTGTGATTAAAAATCTTCCAACAAACAGAAGTCCGGGACCAGATGGCTTCACAGGTGAATTCTATCAAACATTTAGAGAAGAGCTAACAGCCATCCTTCTGAAACTCTTCCAAAAAACTGTGGAGGAAGGAACACTCCCAAACTCATTCTATGAGGCCACCATCACCCTGATACCAAAACCAGACTAAGATACTACAAAAAAAGAAAATTACAGACCAATATCACTGATGAATATAGATGCAAAAATCCTCAACAAAATACTAGCACACAGAATCCAACAACACATTAAAAGGATCATACACCATGATCAAGTGGGATTTATCCCAGGGATGCAAGGATTCTTCAATACATGCAAATCAATCAATGTGATACACCATATTAACAAATTGAAGGAGAAAAACCATATGATCATCTCAATAGATGCAGAAAAATCTTTTGACAAAATTCAACACCCATTTATGATAAAACCTCTCCAGAAAGTGGGCATAGAGGGAACCTACCTCAACATAATGAAGGTCATATACAACAAACCCACAGCAAACATCATCCTCAATGGTGAAAAACTGAAAGCATTTCCTCTAAAATCAGGAACAAGACAAGTATGTCCACTCTCGCCACTATTATTCAATATAGTTTTGGAAGTCCTAGCCACAGCAATCATAGAAGAAAAAGAAATAAAAAGAACACAAATTGGAAAAGAAGAACTAAAACAGTCACTATTTGCAGATACCATGATACTATACGTAGAGAATCCTAAAGATACCACCAGAAAACTACTAGAGCTAATCAATGAATTTGGTAAAGTTGCAGTATACAAAATTAATGCACAGAAATCTCTTGCATTCCTATACACTAATGATGAAAAATCTGAAAGATAAATTAGGGAAACACTCCCATTTACCATTGCAACAAAAAAAATAAAATTCGTAGGAATAAACCTACCTAGGGAGACAAAAGACCTGTATGCAGAAAACTATAAGACACTGATGAAAGGAATTAAAGATGATACCAACAGATGGAGAGATATACCATGTTGTTGGATTGGAAGAATCAGTACTGTGAAAATGACCATACTACCCAAAGCAATCTACAGATTCAATGCAATCCCTACCAAATTACCAATGGCATTTTTTACAGAACTATAACAAAAAATCTTAAAATTTGTATGGAAACACAAAAGACCCCGAGTAGCCAAAGCAGTCTTGAGGGAAAAAAATGGAGCTGGAGGAATCAGACTCCCTGACTTCAGACTATACTAAAAAGCTACAGTAATCAAGACAATATGGTACTGGCACCAAAAGAGAAACATAGATCAATGGAACAAGATAGCAAGCCCAGAGATAAACCCATGCATCTATGGTCAACTAATCTATGACAAAGGAGGCAAGGATATACAATGGAGAAAAGACAGTCTCTTCAATAAGTGGTGCTGGGAAAACTGGACAGGTACATGTAAAAGAATGAAATTAGAACACTCCCTAACACCATACACAAGAATATACTCCAAATGGATTAAAGACCTAAATGTAAGACTGGACGCTATAAAACTCTTAGAGGAAAACATAGGAAGAACACTCTTTGACATAAATCACAGCAAGATCTTTTTTGACCCACCTCCTAGAGTAATGAAAATAAAAACAAAAATAAACAAATGGGACCTAATGAAACTTCAAAGCTTTTACACAGCAAAGGAAACCATAAACAACACGAAAAGCCAACCCTCAGAATGGGAGAAAATATTTGCAAACGAATCAATGGACAAAGGATTAATCTCCAAAATATATAAACAGCTCATGCAGCTCAATATTAAAAAAACAAACAACCCA